CCTGCAAAAACTCTCCAATTCCAAAGTCCCATTTTTCACCTCTGGAAGTTTTTTCTTTTTGGAAGATAACCTAAATGTTACAGAGGATTAAGGCAGCGATGAAATCCTCCGAAGTCTGCTACTGAGCTCGCGCATTGAGTGCATGCGCGCCTAAGGCGTGTTAAAAAAGAACATTTCCAACAATCAGCTGTGACAGGAGATTCATATTAGCTAGAATCGTAGGATTTCCTGCTTTCTAGATAACCTAAATTGCCTGGCCCTGCAGATTCCCCCCCCCCCACTGTTCTACTTACCTGGAAGGCTTCAAAATGTTCTTTTTTAACACGCCTTAGGCGCGCATGCACTCAATGCGCGAGCTCAGTAGCAGACTTCGGAGGATTTCATCGCTGCCTTAATCCTCTGTAACATTTAGGTTATCTTCCAAAAAGAAAAAACTTCCAGAGGTGAAAAATGGGACTTTGGAATTGGAGAGTTTTTGCAGGGCCCAAGGTGCTACTGCAGCTTTTGAGACAGACTATAAGACCCACTGGACTATAAGACGCACCTTGGTTTAGAGGAGGAAAACAAGAAAAAAATAGGTTTTTTTGCTTCTGTGTGTCCTGTTTTTGCCCTCTACAGCGTCCAAAAACACACTGTAGGCCAAAAATGGGCCCGTTTTTGGCATCCACAGGTCCCTTTGTCAGCCTCACCAATGCCAGGGAGGGCAAAAACAGGACCCGCGGAGGCCAAAAACGGCCCCATTTTTGGCCTGCAGAGTGCTTCTAGATGCTGGGGTGATGGAAAACGGGATGCACGGAGGCTTTGGGAGGCCAACAATGGGTCCGTATTTGCTCTATAAGATGCACAGACATTTCCGCCACTTATAGTCCGAAGAATACGGTAGTTCAAATCTGATATGGGGATAAAAGCATCACTCCCCTTTTTCTCCCCTGCATCTTTTCTCTAGCCATAGTCAGTGACTTTGGGATTTTTTTTATCTTAAACTAAAAACATTCTATCCTCTTTCTCAAGATATGACCCAGACCAATGAGAATTATTCTACCCAACGGGAGGTCCGAAGACGTCCCAAGTTTGTTTCCTCTGAAGATGTCAGGACAAAGAAAGGGTAAAGTAGGGGTGTTGGGGTGTAATTAAGAAGGTAATTAAGACCCCATACTTCAGGTTGCCTTGTTCCTTCTTTTTCTAACTTCTTGAAAAGGAGCTGTTTTTGGGGACAGGTAGAGGGACACGGTGGCTCAGTGGCTAAGATGCTGAGCTTGTCGATCAGAAGGGTCAGCCGTTTGGTGGTTTGAATCCCTAGCGCCGCTTAAAGGATTGAGCTCCTGTTACTTGTCCCAGCTTCTGCCAAGCTAGTAGTTCGAAAGCACGTAAAAAATGCAAGAAGAAAAATAGGGACCCCCTTTGGTGGGAAGATAACAGCGTTCCGTGCGCCTTCGGCATTGAGTCATGCCAGCTACATGACCACGGAGACATCTCCGGATAGCGCTGGCTCTTCGGCTTTGAAACGGAGATGAGCATCACCCCCTAGAGTCAGGAACGACTAGGACATATGTGCGAGGGGAACCTTTACCTTGAGGACAGGTAGAATCCTGCTACGACTCTCCCCACCCCTCCCAATTTTGGGGAAATCATGATGTTTTTTTATTGTTTCTTTTGCTTTTTCCCCAAAGTGGTTCTTGTAGTTGGAACTAGATGGAGCAGAGTAACCATTTGTCCCTCACACTTTTTTTTTTGCTTATACCCAGACACACAGCAGCAGCAACAACAATAACAACAGCAGCAGTAGCAGCAGCAGCAGCAGCAGCAGCAGCAG